AGGGGCAGGGGAAAGGAAAGAAGGGAAAGGAAAAATGATGAGAAATGGAAAAAATGGAAATAAAGTCTTTGTAAATAGGGAAGGGTAGAGGGGGTGAAGGGAACACAGGGAATGGGGAAAAAATAAGAACTAAGATCATCCATCATGTAAAGGTACAAGTTCCCAATGAGAAATGTAATTGTGTTGTATACCTAAAATGTACCAATAAAAGAATTTAAGTGAAAAAAAAAATAGAAAGGTTTTCAGGCCTAGGCTAGAGGCTTAATTTTTTCAAATGTCCCATAAATACTTATGAAAAAGATGTATTCTCCATTCCACCACTCAGTTCCCTCCAGAACTCTCCCGCCACTTACCTGCCAGCCGTTTCTATCTAGACCAAAGGTGGTCACAGTGTACAGTGTTTCCTATGCTGCTCTGTTTCATTTCTTTATGGTTTACAGAGTTTAAAACTCATGTTTCAAAGACAGAAAAATATCCAATCCCAACTTCTAAAGCGGGCTGGTCCATGAGCCTAACCCAGCACCAGAGATGACCACCTGGGCCGTGATGCCTGTGGTTCCGGCCTGCATCTGGGAAGCACTGCTCTGGCTGCTGCATTCCAGCCACAAACACATGGCCTGAGCAGAACCACACCATGAACCACAGCCACCAAGCAAAACACCAGTGCGGTTCCACCTATGGAAATGACTTGCGGCGACCCATTCTTCCACAGAGACCAATTGATTGCAGCACTTCAAGGAGCAAGGGCCTTCAAACTCTTGCTGAGAGTATTCTGCAGCTAAGACTCATGTCGGGGGCTCACCCATCCTGCCTGCTTGCCATGGGCACAAAAGCGCCTTCTTAAAATGTCACAACTGCAAAGCAATTATCCCATGCTCACCAGGACTCCTCAGTTGCATTATTTAATTTCTGTTTTCTCTTCCTATTTCCTTGCCATTTAGTTCAATTCACCACAATACATTGGGTTCTTAAACACACTCACCATCCAGCCCCCATGATAAAGAAAAGCACTAATTTAGTTTAGTTTGTTCTCAGAGGGGGAAATCAGCTTGCAGCTGCCCTTCTAGCCTCTGCCACCCGGCTAAGTGCAGGGAGGGCTGGGGGTTCCTGGGCCCTGGGCCTGAGCAGCACCCACACCTAGCCCTGGTGTCTGCCGTCCTCCCTGCACCTCAGAGGGGGCCAGCAAGACCTGTAGGGTGGGGACTGGGGACTGAACCCAGGGCCTTCTCACTCAGCTACAAACCCATACCTTGTTTCCTTTTCCTTTTTGAGACAGGGTCTCACTAAGTTGCTACGTTCCCCAGGCCAGGCTTGAATTTGTGACCCTTCTGCCTCAGCCTCATGGAGCGGCTGGATTTTCAGGCAGGCGCCATCATGTCTGGCCCTGGCAAGACATTTTAATGAGCCATCTGGGGTGTGCCTTCTCATTGTAACTCCACAAAGTGTCCAGCTAAAGAGCAAACGGTGTCTTTTTAAACAAACATTTGATAAATACAGCAGGCTAAGCCAAGGCAGGTCCTCTCACTGTGAGTCTTCCCTGCTGTCTCTCAGGGCTGCAGCAGGTCCCCCCAGCCACTCTGTGCTGCAGAACCCCAGCTGGCTCAGTGGTCCCCCGTGTATTGGCTGCTCCCACCTCTGTCCTGTGCCCCGCCTCAGGGCCATGTGACACTGCTACACATCCGAGAGCAGGAATAAAGGCTTTGGGGCTCTGTGTCCAGTGTGTCCTGTGCCACCTTGTGAGGAGGGGACCAGAGGAGGAGTGATGGAGATGAAGTCCCTGCTAAAGGCCGCTCACTTCTTTCTTTTCTTCCTTTTCCTTCCTTCCTTCCTTTTCTTTTTCTTTCCTTTCTTTTCTTTCTTCTTTCCTCTCTCTCTCTCCCTCTCTCCCTCTCTCCCTCTCTCCCTCTCTCCCTCTCTCTCTCTCTCTCTCCCCTTTCTTTTTTCAGTGTTGTCTAGTTAGAATGTTTTTACGTTGATCAAACTGCTTCACAGTCATCACTGACAGAGCAGGTCAGAATGGAACACATTCCACATTTACAGAGAAAAACACTGCTGGTCAATTAAGATAGTTTTCACAACAACATGGCTTAACACCATCCTTGGGTTGCTGCAAATGGAATGTGAGGACTTGAACAGTGGGGACAACCTAGCCTCAGGCTCCCCTGGGTTTGCTTCTCTGGCCCAGCTATCCCCTTTTACACAAAAGGAAACAGACCGTGACAGGTCTTGCTAAGTCCAACCCCAGACAAAGTCTGCCTCTTACAGTCCTTCTCTGTCAATGCTGCCTCTGCTGCCACTCACATCTTACCAGCATGTGGATGTCATGCTGAGGTTCACCCTGCATCTGCCTAGAGTGGGCTGCAGAGACCTCTGGGGTGACAGGGGCTTCAGCCTCTGCAGCCAGGTGTGCACACACACTATGAGTTCTTGCCTGCCCATCTCCAAATCCAGGCTGGGCTGCACAGGAAACAGCAGAAACCTGAAGGAATCAGGGTGTAATTCTGGAGCCAGGCAGGAAGGAGGATCTAGAACAAGTGCTCCTAGAGCCTCCCAGGAGCCAGCAGGGGAACAGAGTACACACAGGGCCACGGGAGCCCAGATACAGGCCACAATCACACTGAGAGTGGCCACTGGGCACTGGAGAAGCTGAGCCTTCCCCTTCCATAAACAGGCAATGGTCACAGGCCAGGGGATGCTCAGCCAGCCCCACTCTAAAGCACCCACTGGGGATAAGAAAACATGTACAGGAGAAAGCAAACCGGTCCAGAGAGCCCACACGTCCACCTGCTCATGCTAGGGCATGGCCTCTCTCAGGGTCTCCATATTCCCAGAGCAGCACAGATGTCTCTGGCACATGTGCAACAGGGCAGGAGCAGTGGCCAGCCTGGGAAGCTCCCTGAAGGGTACAGTGAGCCACTGCCAATGATAGCTGTGGAAGTGACAATGATGACCTCCTCTCTCCACCTAGAAGCACCTGGGTGGCACCTGCAGGCTGGCAGAGGCCCGTGCCTGTCCAGCCTACCTGAGGGCAGAGCTGTTCACCACAAGCGAGCAACAGAACCTCCTGCTCCCTCCTTCGGCCCTCAGAGAGGCTCCCAGGTCAGGTGCCTTGATGTGACCTGTGTACTGGAGGTCACAATGCCCCTCTAGGGTCATGCTGTCACTCTGTGTCCTCAGCTGGGCACTGCTGGATAGCAGAGGGGAGCGGGAGCAGAGCTAGCAGCCCCCCCAACCATCCACAGACAGAAGCGCAATAAACCGCCCAGCACAAAACCAACCTTAGCTCTTCTGGAAACATGTTTACTTACTTGAAAATCTCTTTCTTCTAGAATTTCTTTCCTCCATCTCACGAGGAAAGCAGCACAAACGTACAAGTGGAAATGTGAAAAGCCCTCGGGTTCCGACTGAAAGAGAAAACAGGTGAGAGGCCATCAATGCGTACCCCATCAGCATCGCCACAGGCATCCGGCAGCCTGATCGGGTTCACGCAGTCAGGGCTGGGAAGCCTGGGTCTTGCTGAAGCCCACGTCAGCGGTGGTACAGACAGAACTCGAGCAACCACCGCGCCAGGCATGGAATCTGCTCCTCGCAGGGAGGCAGTGTGGTCAGTCGCTTGAGTCACTGTCGTCTCTCTGGTCAGTCAATGGATGTGGCCTCCCCACTGCCCTCTCCAGGTCTCCACACTCCTGGAGCACTGTCGCCAACTGGAGATCCCATCAGGCCTCTCCTCTGGCCCCCACAGCTCCCCTCAAGAACACCTCCTGCCTCCTGTCCCCTGTGGCTGCCGTATTAGCTCAAGCCTGCGCTGCCACCTGCTGAGTGCTGCCTTCACAGACTAGCCATGTTCTCATGCTACATACACATGACCAAATAAAATCTAGGGTTTGTATGATGGTGACGACATACTTTAGAAAAAAATAAGGCAAAGGTGGGAGGCCAGGAAACAGCAGGGGTGTTTGTATACATTTGGGGGCTGTGATTTCAATATGGTGGCCATCACTTGCAGACACATTTAAACAAAGACCCAAAGAGAGAAAGCCAGGCAAACTCGGGGCAGGGAAGGATCAAGGTACACACATGAAAAAATATAAAGACCCCCAAGGTCAGAGATGTGCCAGAAACACTGAGGGGACAGCAGGGTTAGGACAGAGGGAGGCAGAGAGCAGAAACCGAGGATGGTGGGGAGGTGACTGTGAAACGACAGATCCTCAGGCTCCTGGGCCTGAGAAGCTCTGAGGAGGGCCAGATGCAGGCTTTGAAGGGTCCCGCTGAGAACAGACAAGGCACGGGGCTGGTGAGGAAGGACAGGCCAGGGAGACAGGCCAGGGACAGGGTCATCATAAATCAAGATGTGTTAGTGATGCAGACTGGGCAGGGACAGAAGGCAAATTCTAAAGCTATCAGCTGAAGGCTGAGCCTTGAAGATACACAGCTAAAGGAGACCTGGGCTATGAGGGAAAGGGAGGAGTCAAGGACACCAGCAGTCTTGTCCTTAAGAACTAGAAGGATCAGTTTTCCATTCCTGAGATGAGGGAAGGTTGGCGAAATTTGCAGAAGGTGTTTGGGGGAGATGGTGACCTGAACCTCGGACACACCAAGTTGAGATGTCTACAGGACAACCAAGTGAAGGTGTCGGGGGCGGGGGACTCAGACATGAGCCTGGAGTGGCCCAGTGGTCTGGGCCAGAAATAAATCCTGAGAGCTGCAAGGCTAAAGATCAGTTTGGGGGAGCAGGTCAGCCGGGAGAGGTCACTAGGCTGCAGAGAGAAAAGGAACAACAGGACAGGCAATGGGAGGTGACCCATGCAGCCAGTGCCAGGGAGGTCACCAGGCAGGCAGGAGGGCTGCCCAGAGTGTCAGCAATGAGAGCTCAGAATGTCTTCATTTTACTCCACAGTGGCTGGCACTGGCACTACCACACCAAACCTTGCCTTCTGCTTCCTGATGTTAAAGGGGTCTGCTTGCAACATTTCACCATGGACAGTGAGTGATGTGTGCTTGAGGCCTTCTTTGTAGATAACCCACGGCAGGTTAGAAAAATTCCCTTCCACTCCTAATGAACCAGTGTTCTTAGCATGGACAGCTATGAATTGAATCAGTTGACCTCCTGAGTCATTTGAGATGATAACTTGTCCCCTTTCAAACTATTAGTGTGGTGGATACCGTGCATATCACAGTTCCTTTAATGTGCCACCTTGTACTCGTGCAATAAACTCAGTTTGGTCAGAACATGTCCGATGTTTGACCATGGCTAGGTCCCATTTGCACATGCAGTTGTAAGATTAGCTCTCGTTCTCCCTTCTCTAACTCCCCTCTTCTGGCTTGAGCAGCCAGTTACACTGCTTCTTTCCCTCTCTACTCAGTCTGCACAGGACTGGGAAGTATGTCCCCTGGGTGTTGCTGGAGAGCTCTTATAAAATAGAAAGGGCCTGACTTTCTCAGAGTATTGGATAATTTTGTTTTTCTAGGAATTTGTCATCTAAGTTTTCAAATTTGTCCATAATATTCTGTTTCTTTAAATATCCACTCTGTAGTACTTACCCTATTTGGATTTCTTGATGCCACTTTTAGATGCGTTTGCCTCATCTTAGTTATTACTCATGCCACAGGTTTCTTAATTTCCTTAGTCTTTTAAAATAACCACCGTCTGGTTCTGATGATGAGTTTCAGTACCTCATTCACTTCTGCTGTTATCTTTATTACCCTTGTTTTGATACTAACGTGGTTTTTCCTTTCTTTATAATGGCTATTTTCAAACATACACAAAAGTACAGTAACTGCTACTCTGTTTTTTCTAAGTATTTTTCTAACTTAAGACAGAAAACTATATCCTTAATATATGGCCTTTCTCCATTTCTGATATAAGCAAGCATTTCAACCTCCCAATCTCCTTCCATAGTCCCACTCTAGCTGTGCTCCACATTTGTAATGAGTCTTTATTATCCCAACTTCTGAGACAGATAAGGTTCTTCTATGATTTCCTTCTTTGGATCCTAGCTTACTTATCAGTATGTTTTTGAATCTGTAAACATAAGTGGTTCATTTCTGTTGTCATTTTAGCATTTTTCAGTTATGAATTTGTAGCTTAATTGTGTTATAAAGGAATGTGATTTATATGATGCTGATTTTTGCAATAGACTCGAATCAATTTTCACAAATATCCACTGAGGCAGTGCTGTTACAGATCCAGAATGCAACTCTGGAGCTAACCTATCAGGACACTGGACCCCACCGCTTGCCCTGTGATCTGTGACAGCGTGCCTGGCCTCTGGGCCCCAGATTCTTCATTTGTAAATGTTATTAAGATTAAATGACAGACAGCTCCTTCAACGTCTGGAACACAGCGAGTAGTGTAATTACCTGACATTAGGTGTGTGTTCAAAGGGCCTATATTCTAGATTTCTCAGATACAGCGTTGTATGCATGTGTTGTTCAAGTCTTCTATTAATCCTTATTGGTTTTTTTCATCTGCTTATGAGCTATCAATAACTGAGAGATGTTACAAGAGTGGATTTATTTGCTTCCCCCTTATAGTTCTGCCAAACCTCGTTTCGTTTTACATATTTGGAAGCTATGTTATGAGGGGCATACAAATTCAAACCTCTTTTATCTTTCTGATATGCCTAACAAAATCAATGTCAACATATGCGACCTACTTTATCTCGAGCGATGTTTTTTGCTTTGAAGTCTTTGGATTAGGAGGACATGGATATGGGAGTCTAGTATGACTATAGCTGTATATCAGCTTTTATTAAATAATTTATGTTACACAGCTTTATTGAAGTATAAATGGCATACAATAAACCACACAAAGTTTATAATTTGTTGTCATCTGCAGATTTTTTTTTCCTTCCAGTACTGGGGATTGAACTCAGGACCTTGTGCTTGAGAGGCAGGCACAGTGCCGTTGAGCTAAATCCCTGAAGTTTATAATTTGTTAAGTTTTGCCACATGCACACCTGTGAAAACACTGTAACAATCAAGCCAGTGACCTATCATCTCCAAAAGTGTGCTTGTGCTTATCTGTAATTCTCTGTCTTGCCCATCTCAGGGCCCATGTGAGTGCTGCTCTATGCTGTCGCTGTGGTTCACATTTCCTGCACTTTTATATAAATGAGATATACAGTGTGCACCTCGGCTGGTTTGTGTGGTTTTGGTCTAGCTTCCCTCACTCAGCATTGTTGAGATCCATCCATGACACTGCAGGTATCAAGAGCACATTCCTGGCAGAGGCCAAGTATGTTCCACTGTATAGTTTGTTTATCCACGCATCTGCCTTAGACAGACACTGGACTGTTTCCAATTCTTGGCTATTACATAAGAGAGTTATGAACATGTGTACAAGTCCTTGTATGGATGCATGCTTTCCTTTGCTTAGATGAATCCTAGGAGCAAAACGGAAAGACCATATGGTAGGGGTATGTTTAACATGTGAGAAACTACCAAACTATTTTCCAAACTGGTTGCACTATTTTACATTCCCACCAGCAGCAAATGAGTTCGAGTTCTATCACATTTACTATTTTTTTTTTTTAATTTTTTTTTGGGGGGGTAGCGGGGATTGAACTCGGGGTCCTTACGCTTGCACAGCAGACAGCCAAACCACTGAGCTAAATCCCCGGCCCTATCACATTTACTATTAATCATTCTAATGGGCTTGAAGTAGAATCTCATTATGGTTTTAATTTGCATATTTATATTTCCCTAAAGACTAATGGTTTTGAATATCTTTTCATGTGCTTATTTGACATGTTTTGGCATTCATATTTTTTCACTCAGTTGTCTGTTTCACATTACTGTGTTGAGTTATTTTCTACAGACTCTGCATTTAAGTCTTTTATCAAATTTATGCTTTGAAAACATTTTCTCCCAGTCTATGATTTGTCTTTTCATTCTTTTAACAGCAGCTTTTGAAGAATATGTATTACATTTTGATGATGTTCAATTTATTAATTTGTTCTTTTATGTATATCATATAGCATATCATATTATACTTTTGGCATCTTATCTAACAAATCTTTCCCTAGTTCAAGGGCAAAAAGGTTTCCATGTACAAGTTTTATAGCTTTATGTTTTACAATGAGGTCTACAATACATTTGAGTTGATTTTTTGTCCATAATTGAACACATGAGCTGAGGCTTCTTTTATGCATATGGATACCCAATTGTTCCAGCAATTTATTGAAAAGACTATCTACTCTCCAGAGTTAAAAATCAGGTATTGTTCATCTTCCATTTTTGATCCTCTTTTCAAAGATTTGGCTATTCTAAAATTTCTGTATTTCCATATGAATTTTATCACCAATTTGTCAATGTCTACCCAAAAAAAGCTTTCATCTGGAGTTGTGCTGAATCAATTGATTCAATTGATCAATTGAGGGATTGGCATCTTAGCATCATTGAG